GAATCTATCTATCGGTGGTCTTTTTAATTCAATGAATCTATCCGAGTCTTTTAATTCAATGAATCTATCTATCTATCGAGTCTTTTAATTCAATGAATCTATCTATCTATCTATTTCAATGAATCTATTTAATTTCAATGAAATCTATCTATCTATCGAGTCTTTTTTAATATCTATCAATGAATCTCAGGTCTATCAATGAATCTCTATCTATCTTTATCGGGAATCTTTTAATTGAATGTATCTATCTATCCGATCTTTTAATTCAATGAATCTATCTATCTATCCGAGTCTTTTAATTCAATGAATCTATCTATCGATCTTTTAATTCAATGAATCTCTTATCCGAGTCTTTTAATTCAATGAATCTATCTATCTATCCGAGTCTTTTAATTCAATGAATCTATCTATAATTCGAGTCTTTAATTCAATGAATCTATCTATCTATCTATCGTCTTTTAATTCAATGAATCTATCTATCTATCCGAGTCTTTTAATTCAATGAATCTATCTATCTATCCGAGTCATTTAATTCAATGAATCTATCTATCGAGTCTTTTAATCAATGAATATCGGAGTCTTTTAATTCAATCTATCTATCCGAGTCTTTTAATTCAATGAATCTATCTCTCTATTCGAGTCTTTTAATTCAATGAATCTATCTCTCTATTCGAGTCTTTTAATTCAATGAATCTATCTCTCTATCCGAGTCTTTTAATTCAATGAATCTATCTATCGGAGTCTTTTAATTTAATGAATCTATCTATTTCATCTTTTAATTCAATGAATCTATCTTAATTCGAATGAATCTATCTATCTATCTTTCGGAGTCTTTTAATTCAATGAATCTATCTATCTATCGGAGTCTTTTAATTCAATGAATCTATCTATCTATCGGAGTCTTTTAATTCAATGAATCTATCTATCTATCGGAGTCTTTTAATTCAATGAATCTATCTATCTATCTATCGGAGTCTTTTTTAATCTATCAATGAATCTTTTAATTCAATGAATCTATCTATCTATCTATCGGAGTCTTTTAATTCAATGAATCTATCTATCTCAGGTCTTTTTAATTCAATGAATCTATCTATCGGAGTCTTTTAATTCAATGAATCTATCTATCTATCTATCGGAGTCTTTTAATTCAATGAATCTATCTATCTATCGGAGTCTTTTAATTCAATGAATCTATCTATCGGAGTCTTTTAATTCAATGAATCTATCTATCTATCGGAGTCTTTTAATTCAATGAATCTATCTATCTATCTATCGGAGTCTTTTAATTCAATGAATCTATCTATCTATCTATCGGAGTCTTTTAATTCAATGAATCTATCTATCTATCGGAGTCTTTTAATTCAATGAATCTATCTATCTATCTATCTATCGGAGTCTTTTAATTCAATGAATCTATCTATCTATCGGAGTCTTTTAATTCAATGAATCTATCTATCTATCGGAGTCTTTTAATTCAATGAATCTATCTATCTATCCATCTATCTATCTGTTCGAGTCTTTTAATTCAATGAATCTATCTATCTATCTAATGAATCTTTTAATTCTTTGAATCTATCAATGAATCTATCTGAGTCTTTTAATTCAATGAATCTATCTGAGTCTTTTAATTCAATGAATCTATCTATCGAGTCTTTTTAATTCAATGAATGAATCTATCTATCTATATCGGGTCTTTTTAATTCAATGATCCATCTATCTATCCGAGTCTTTTTAATTCAATGAATCTATCTATCGAGTCTTTTTAATTCAATGAATCTAATGATCTATCGGAGTCTTTTTAATTCAATGAATCTATCTGTCTTTTAATTCAATGAATCTGAGTCTTTTAATTCAATGAATCTATCTGAGTCTTTTAATTCAATGAATCTATCTGAGTCTTTTAATTCAATGAATCTATCTGAGTCTTTTAATTCAATGAATCTATCCGAGTCTTTTAATTCAATGAATCTATCCGAGTCAATTTTTTAATTCAATGAATCTATCCGAGTCTTTTAATTGCAATGAATCTATTCGAGAATCTATTTAATCAATGAATCAATATCCGAGTCTTTTTAATTCAATGAATCTATCTATCCGAGTCTTTTAATTCAATGAATCTATCTATCTATCCGATTATCTATTAATCTTTCAATGAATCTATCTATCCGAGTCTTTTAATTCAATGAATCTATCTATCTATCTTTTAATCCGTCTTTTAATTCAATGAATCTATCTGTCTAATCTATCCGAGTCTTTTAATTCAATGAATCTATCTATCCGAATCTTTTAATTCAATGAATCTATCTATCTATCTATCTGTCTTTTAATTCAATGAATCTATCTGTCCGAGTCTTTTAATTCAATGAATCTATCTATCTATCTTTTGAATTCTTTTAATCTATCAATGAATCTTTTAATCTGAATCTATCTATCGAGTCTTTTAATTCAATGAATCTATCTATCTATCTGTTTTTAATTCAATGAATCTATCTATCGGAGTCTTTTAATTCAATGAATCTATCTATCTATCTTTCGGAGTCTTTTAATTCAATGAATCTATCTATCTATCTTTCGGAGTCTTTTAATTCAATGAATCTATCTATCTATCTTTCGGAGTCTTTTAATTCAATGAATCTATCTATCTATCTATCGGAGTCTTTTAATTCAATGAATCTATCTATCTATCTATCTATCGGAGTCTTTTAATTCAATGAATCTATCTATCTATCTATCGGAGTCTTTTAATTCAATGAATCTATCTATCTATCTATCGGAGTCTTTTAATTCAATGAATCTATCTATCTATCTATCGGAGTCTTTTAATTCAATGAATCTATCTATCTATCGGAGTCTTTTAATTCAATGAATCTATCTATCTATCGGAGTCTTTTAATTCATTGAATATATCTATCTATCTATCTGAGTCTTTTAATTCAATGAATCTATCTGAGTCTTTTAATTCAATGAATCTATCTGAGTCTTTTAATTCAATGAATCTATCTGAGTCTTTTAATTCAATGAATCTATCTGAGTCTTTTTTAATTCAATGTCTTTAAATCTATCTATGAGTCTTTTAATTCAATGAATCTATCTGAGTCTTTTAATTCAATGAATCTATCCGAGTCTTTTAATTCAATGAATCTATCCGAGTCTTTTAATTCAATGAATCTATCTATCCGAGTCTTTTAATTCAATGAATCTATCCGAGTCTTTTAATTCAATGAATCTATCTATCCGAGTCTTTTAATTCAATGAATCTATCTATCCGAGTCTTTTAATTCAATGAATCTATCTATCCGAGTCTTTTAATTCAATGAATCTATCTATCCGAGTCTTTTAATTCAATGAATCTATCTATCTATCCGAGTCTTTTAATTCAATGAAATCTATCTATCCGAGTCTTTTAATTCAATGAATCTATATCTATCTATCTATCGGAGTCTTTTAATTCAATGAATCTATCTATCTATCGGAGTCTTTTAATTCAATGAATCTATCTATCTATCGGAGTCTTTTAATTCAATGAATCTATCTATCTATCGGAGTCTTTTAATTCAATGAATCTATCTATCTATCGGAGTCTTTTAATTCAATGAATCTATCTATCTATCTATTCGAGTCTTAATTCAATGAATCTATCTGTGTCTTTTAATTCAATGAATCTATCTATCTGTCTGAATCTTTTAATTCAATGAATCTATCTATCTATCTATTCGAGTCTTAATTCAATGAATCTATCTGTGTCTTTTAATTCAATGAATCTATCTATCTGTCTGAATCTTTTAATTCAATGAATCTATCTATCTATCTATTCGAGTCTTTTAATTCAATGAATCTATCTGTCTAAATCTTTTAATTCAATGAATCTATCTATCGGAGTCTTTTAATTCAATGAATCTATCTATCTATTCGAGTCTTAATTCATTGAATCTATCTGTGTCTTTTAATTCAATGAATCTATCTATCTGTCTGAATCTTTTAATTCAATGAATCTATCTGTCTAAATCTTTTAATTCAATGAATCTATCTGTCTAAATCTTTTAATTCAATGAATCTATCTGTCTAAATCTTTTAATTCAATGAATCTATCTGTCTAAATCTTTTAATTCAATGAATCTATCTATCTCCCTATCTATCTATCTATCTATCTATCTATATGAGTCTTTTAATTCAATGAATCTATCCATCTATCGTAGTCTTTTAATTCAATGAATATATCTATCTATCTATCTATCGGAGTCTTTTAATTCAATGAATATCTCTATCTATATCTATCGGTGTCTTTTTATTCAATGAATCTATCTACCTGTCTATCTATCTATCCGTCGGAATCTTTTAATTCAATGAATCTATCTATCCGAGTCCTTTAATTCAATGATTCTATCTATCTATATTTCTGAGTCTTTTAATTCAATGAATCTATTTTTGTCTTAATTCAATGAATCTATATCTACCTATCCGAGTCTTTTAATTCAATCTATCTATCTAACCGAGTCTTTTAATTTAATGAATTTATCTATGTATCTATATCTCGGGGTCTTTCAATTCAATGAATCTATCTATCTAACTGAGTCTTTTAATTCAATGAATTCATCTATCTATCTATCTATATCTCATTCTTTTTCATATCTATCTATCCGAGTCTTTTAATTCAATGCATCTCTCTATCTATCTATCCGAGTCTTTTAATTCAATGAATCTCTCTATCTATCTATCCGAGTCTTTTAATTCGATGAGTCTATCTATCTATCTATCTATCCGTGTCTTTTAATTCAATGAGTCTATCTATCTATCTATCCGAGTCTTTTAATTCAATGAATCTATCTATCCGAGTCTTTTAATTCAATGAATCTATCTATCCGAGTCTTTTAATTCAATGAATCTATCTATCCGAGTCTTTTAATTCAATGAATCTATCTATCCGAGTCTTTTAATTCAATGAATCTATCTATCCGAGTCTTTTAATTCAATGAATCTATCTATCCGAGTCTTTTAATTCAATGAATCTATCTACCTCAGTCTCTTCAATCTATCTCTATCTATCCCCGTCTATCTATCCCCGTCTCTTCAATCTATCTCTATCTATCCCCGTCTATCTATCCCCGTCTCTTCAATCTATCTCTATCTATCCCCGTCTCTTCAATCTATCTCTATCTATCTATCCCCGTCTCTTCAATCTATCTCTATCTATCTATCCCCGTCTCTTCAATCTATCTCTATCTATCTATCCCCGTCTCTTCAATCTATCTCATCTATCTATCCCTCGTATCTTCAATCTATCTCTTCATTCTATCTATCCCCGTCTCTTCAATCTATCCCTCCTTCATTCTATCTATCTATCCCCGTCTCTTCAATCTATCTATCTATCTATCTATCCCCGTCTCTTCAATCTATCTCTATCTATCTATCCCCGTCCCTTCATTCTATCTATCCCCGTCCCTTCATTCTATCTATCTATCTATCCCAGTCTCTTCAATCTATCTATCTATCCCAGTCTCTTCAATCTATCTATTTATCTATCTCAGTCTCTTCAATCTATCTATTTATCTATCTCAGTCTCTTCATTCTATCTATTTATCTATCTGTTGTGGTAGGATCTACCTAATTTGCATAGTGGATAACCTCTCCATATAAATATGGTTGGTACCGGGAAGAGAGGGAGGAATCAAGGGATTCAATCCAGAGACTCTGCCCGACTGCGACTAAGTCAACACATTCTCCAGGGACGGTCTTCCCAAGAATATACAAAAGACTATATGTAAATATTGTGTACACTTTCTTGTTTCAATACATTTTGTTCTAAGTACATTTTGTGTTGTATTATTATTCCATGCATTAGTCAAGTTTCAACAATGGCAACGAGGTAGTAATAACTTTACGACTATAAAAAAAGAATTGATAATTGATAGCCTTCAACAATTGGGACAAGTCTTTTAAGAACCCAGGCTGAAGGAAAAAATTATTAATTAAAAATCCAACATCTAATGGAACGACAAAGGATTCTGAAGTTCTGGAAATTTAAAACTCGTTAAAGGACGACTAATCATAAAGGAACTTTCACTCCGAAAAATCTGAAAGGTGTCGTAAACGAATATCGGTGAATTAAAAAAAAAAAAAAAGGAAAAAATTCACTGGCGGCTGCTAAAACATTTTATTTTTTTTGCGTTGCTCAACAATATTTTATAAAGCAAGACAAAATAAAAAAAAGTCGTAAGTTGTTTCGATTTTTTTGGTCAGATTATATTATATTCGTGGATACACAAATTAAAAATATATTCTTCGTTGCATGAACACTATCAGCTAAATATGGATGAATTATCCAAAATCATAGCTGACTTCTTCAAATCCCAGCAGGTGAGTCAAGTTGAATTAGTTAAATCCCAGCAGTTGAGTCAGCAACGTCAAAGTGAACAGTTTGCCTTATTAATAAGGGAACAACTGAAAAGACCGCAAGAATATCAAGAAAAGCAAGAGGAAAGACAGCAAAAATATCAAAAGCAAGAGGAAAGACTGGAAAAACAGGAAGAAATGCAGATCCATGTTTTAGAAATTCAAAAGTTAACACTGGAGAAATTAAACAACAGTCAGGCAAATGAAGGAAATTCTTCATATTCTAATAACATTATATTTAATTCGCTGGAAAATTTCAACTATGGGCCAGACGAAGAAAAAACGTTTGAAGCGGACTTTAAACGATATGAAGATATTTTCTACACAGACTGTGAAAACTGGTCGAATTCAAGAAAAGTCAGTTTATTACTAAGAAAGCTAGGTACAGCGGAACATAGCAAATTTGTAGATTTTATTCTACCGAGAAGAACAAATGAATTGGAATTCTCGGAAACAGTGAAATTGGAGTTGTTTGGAGCAAATATGTCGCTTTGGCATAAGCGATGGTTATGCATGAATGTCGCTAAATCCAACGATCAGGATTACTTAACTTATGCATCTATAGTGAATAGACATTGTGACAATTTCAGATTGGCAGAGATTACGGTTGAAGAATTCAAGTGTTTAATTTTTGCTCAAGGACTGGTATCCAGTAAGAGTGCCGAAATAAGACGTAGAGTTTGTCTAAACTCGAATCTGAACAAAACCTTACCCTGCAAAAAGTTAGCAGAGGAGTGTCAGCGGGCCGTAAGTTTAAAGAAAGAGTCTCAAAAAATCGAAGAAGCTGGCATTGCTTATATTAAAAAATTTAAAAAAACAGTCAAATTACCCATCAGAAAAAAATTGAGTAAAAAATTCTGCGTATTTTAAAAATAGACAAGAAAAATTAAATGAAAAGAATGAGGAGAAAAAAAGGTTCCACCATTTAATTGTAGGCGGTGCAACGGAAGACACTGGGAGTTAAATTGCCCATATAGAAATAAAAAATGTTTCGTGTGCCACAAGAATGGTCACAAAGGGTCGTGTTGTAAAACGAAAAAAGTCAATAGCCGAATTAGACAAACAAATTCAAATATCAAATCAGATAGAGATTTGAGGAAGTATGTGACGACTGAAATATTTAAAAGAATATCAAATTTCAACTCGATTCGGGTTCAGATTTAACAATAATGAACTATAAAACATGGAAAATTTTAAAAAGGCCTACAATAATGAAGTCAACGAAATGCGCTCGAACGGTAATTGGAAAGGAAATTAAATTCGAAGGCGAGGTTGTACTTCCCATGAAATTGAACGGGATAGTTAAAAAAAATAAGTTTTCATTCTGAAAAATGGAGAAAACTTGATGGGTACAGATTTTATTGAAACATTCGAATCGTGGGATAAACCGTTAAACTCATTCTGCAGCAATGTAGAAAGTAATACGCAAACAAGGCAGGACATTAAAGAGGAATTAAAAAAAAAGTTTCCGGAAACCTTCACACCTGGTCTTGGAAGATGTAACAAGTTTGAAGCCAAATTCGAATTAAAGGAAAATACTATGCCAATTTTTAAAAGAAACGTAACGTGCCTTTCGCAAGTGTAGAGAAAGTTAACGAAGAACTTGATAGGTTGGAAAAATGGGAATTATTTCGAAAGTAGAATCTAATTCATGGGCTGCGCCGATTTGTGCATAAAAAGAAATCAAACCAAGTCAGAGTCTGCGTTGATTTTTCGACAGGGTTGAACTCGGTAATTAAGGACTACCATTACCCGTTACCGAGTCCGGAGTAGATTTAGAGGAGGATTTGCCTGTCCCTAATGATAAATTAAAAGAAAGGAAACGTAAATGTAAAGCCCAGAAAGAAGGGAAATATACAGTGATCACCCTTTTTGCGTCCACCGCATTTTTCGTGGAAATCCTAATTACTTGATATGAAACCAGTGCTTACTAGGCTCATTCCATGAATTCTAATGAAAAATATTTTCCAACAAGTTTGAGATGAGGGATTTGCCTGTCCCTAATGATAAATTAAAGAAAGGAAACGTAAATGTAAAGCCCAGAAAGAAGGGAAATATACAGTGATCACCCACTTTGCGTCCACCGCATTTTTCGTGGAAATCCTAATTACTTGATATGAAACCAGTGCTTACTAGGCTCATTCCATGAATTCTAATGAAAAATATTTTCGAACAAGTTTTAGAGGAGGGATTTGCCTGTCCCTAATGATAAATTAAAAAAGGAAACGTAAATGTAAAGCCCCAAAAAAAAGGGAAATATACAGTGATCACCCACTTTGCGTCCACCGCATTTTTTTCGTGGAAATCCTAATTACTTGATATGAAACCAGTGCTTACTAGGCTCATTCCATGAATTCTAAAAAAAAAATTTTTTCGAACAAGTTTTAGATGAGGGATTTGCCTGTCCCTAATGATAAATTAAAAAAAGGAAATTCTAATGAAAAATGTAAAGCCCAGAAAAAAGGGAAATAAAGCCCAGAAATGATCACCCACTTTGCGTCCACCGCATTTTTCGTGGAAATCCTAATTACTTGATATGAAACCAGTGCTTACTAGGCTCACTCCATGAATTCTAATGAAAAATATTTTCGAACAAGTTTTAGATGAGGGATTTGCCTGTCCCTAATGATAAATTAAAAAAAGGAAACGTAAATGTAAAGCCCAGAAAGAAGGGAAATATAGAGTGATCACCCACTTTGCGTCCACTTTTTTTCGTGGAAATCCTAATTACTTGATATGAAACCAGTGCTTACTAGGCTCATTCCATGAATTCTAATGAAAAATATTTTCCAACAAGTTTTAGAGGAGGGATTTGCCTGTACCTAATGATAAATTAAAGAAAGGAAACGTAAATGTAAAGCCCAGAAAGAAGGGAAATATACTTTGCGTCCACCGCATTTTTCGTCGAAATCCTAATTACTTGATATGAAACGAGTGCTTACTAGGCACATTCGATGAATTCGAATGAAAAATTTTTTCCAACAAGTTTTAGAGGAGGGATTTGCCTGTACCTAATGATAAATTAAAGAAAGGAAACGTAAATGTAAAGCCCAGAAAGAAGGGAAATATACTTTGCGTCCACCGCATTTTTCGTCGAAATCCTAATTACTTGATATGAAACGAGTGCTTACTAGGCTCATTCCATGAATTCTAATGAAAAATATTTTCCAACAAGTTTTAGAGGAGGGATTTGCCTGTCCCTAATGATAAATTAAAAAAGGAAACGTAAATGTAAAGCCCAGAAAGAAGGGAAATATACAGTGATCTTTGCCCATTTTTGCGTCCATTACGCATTTTTTCGTGGAAATCCTAATTACTTGATATGAAACCAGTGCTTACTAGGCTCATTCCATGAATTTCTAATAAAAAAATATTTTTCCAACAAGTTTTAGATGAGGGATTTGCCTGTCCCTAATGAAAAAATGATAAATAAATGATAAATTAAAGAAAGGAAACGTAAATGTAAAGCCCAGAAAAAGGGAAATATACTTTGCGTCCACCGCATTTTTCGTGGAAATCCTAATTACTTGATATGAAACCAGTGCTTACTAGGCTCATTCCATGAATTCTAATGAAAAATATTTTCGAACAAGTTTTAGAGGAGGGATTTGCCTGTCCCTAATGATAAATTAAATAAAGGAAACGTAAATGTAAAGCCCAGAAATAGTGAAATATACAGTGATCACCCACTTTGCGTCCACTTTGCGTCCATTTTTCGTGGAAATCCTAATTACTTGATATGAAAGTGCTTACTTACTAGGCTCATTCCATGAATTAATGAAAAATTTTTTCGAACAAGTTTTAGAGGAGGGATTTGCCTGTCCCTAATGATAAATTAAAAAAGGAAACGTAAATGTAAAGCCCCCAAAAAAAAAAAATACAGTGATGATCACTTTGCGTCCACCATTTTTTTTCGTGGAAATCCTAATTACTTGATATGAAACCAGTGCTTACTAGGCTCATTCCATGAATTCTAATGAAAAAATATTTTCGAACAAGTTTTAGATGAGGGATTTGCCTGTCCCTAATGATAAATTAAAAAAAGGAAACGTAAATGTAAAGCCCAGAAAGAAGGGAAATATACAGTGATCACCCACTTTGCGTCCACCGCATTTTTTTCGTGGAAATCCTAATTACTTGATATGAAACCAGTGCTTACTAGGCTCATTCCATGAATTCTAATGAAAAAATATTTTTCGAACAA